ATAAATAAATAAATAAATAAATAAATAAATAAATAAATAAATAAATATTTTAGAAAAGAGGGGACAGAAAAAGCAGTAAAATGCTGGCAACTGCGACAGCTGGATGATGAGGTTGTACTGTTCATTCTACAGTGGGTCTGTCTGAAAATCTCTCCTAGATGATTTTCTGTAGGCCACATGAAACAGAGACTTTCTCTGTTGTTCGCAGGTCCTCGGGAGCTACCCTCGAAGATCTTTGTTCCAGGTGCGCACCTCCCCTGCACCCGGACGTGATTTAGGAAACGAGGCCCTAGACTTGTAGCCACGGCTCCTCAGGGATGAGGATTTGGGGGCCGTCTTTGGGAGAGGTGCGTCTTGCAATGAAAGGAACAGAAACAATCTGAGGCCAGAAGACAGGCTGTGGTGATGCTCAGAAGACGGAGGCAATCCTTTCCTACTGACCAGGCAGGTCTGAGCGCCCCGGCATACTCCTAATAGACGGCCTGTGCTGGAAGGGCCCCCGGCAGCCCGCGCCCAGCTGCCAGAGGACTGCAAACCTCGGACTGCTGCAGCCCTGACTGATGAACCTCTGAGCAGCCCGGCCAGAACTGTCCAGGCCAGCCACTCCCAAATTCCCGACCCACAGAGCTGTGTGACATAAAGCTCTGTGGTCGAGACAAAAAACGGAGATCACTGCTCTTGGCGTGGGAGCATCATCTTAAACATATGGGGAAGTGAGGGCCCCCTCAGTCTGTCTTCCATACGCCCGGGGGAAGATGCCTAGAGTAAAAGGGGGACGCAGGTCACCGCCTGCCAACAAGTACACGGCACAGAGGCACCCGGGAAAGTCAGCCAACGACGGTCCCCCCAGACTCATGCAGCACCCAACCAACACACCGTGACTGCTCTCACTCTAACGGTCGCGGAGAGACTGCAAACGTGGTTACCAAGCAAAGGAGGTGTGAAGGCATGCCCACAAGTTGTCATCGCTTGTCAAGGACGTCAACGAACGAGCCGCATTGCCGTTGCGTTGATGCAGGAAGGGTGTGAAGGCCGTGTTCATCCTCTGGGCGCGCTGCGGGCAGCCAAACTGCTCTGTCTCAAATACCTGAAATGCAAAGGGAACGGGCGGCCTCTGAGCAAAACAGAAGCAGCCGAGCAGCCCAGAGGCAGCTCATTCACAGCCAACTTCCTGGGTCCACTCCAGAAGACGCTGTCCCAATCTGGCCACAGAAAAGTGCCACCGGTCTCATCCCAAACAGAATGGCTTCTGCCCTCACAGCTTGAGTAGAAGCTACCTGAGGAAGAGGAATCGGTTTAAGAATTTCTCCTGTACCCTCTCCCACAACCAACTCATTAGGCACCCGATGGGCACTCAGGTGGTATACGTGCTTGCGTGCTCATCACTGCTGTTCTTCACATCCTTCCAGGCTCCTGCCCCCCGTCCCAGCACATGGAGGCTTTCAGCGAGAGACCTGGTGCGGGCGGGACATGTGCCCTGTTCTGGCATGGAGGTGAGAGGAACGAGGCCCTCCAGCACCATCTACGGCCTCTCGCAGGGAATTCGGCAACGTTCCGACACGGATGTTGCTCCAGCTGCCAGGCCGACTACGATGAGTAGATCCTCCCATCCCTGCAATGGACCCAGAACACGACCGACAACAAAACACTGTGGGACGCCAGGTGGCTCGGTCGGTTGAGCATCAGGCTCTTGGTTTTTGGCTCAGGTCACGAGCTCAGGGTCATGGAATCAAGCCCTGTGTCAGGCTCCACGCTGAGCATGGAGGCTGCTTGGGATTCTCTCTCCCCCGTCCCTCTGCTCCCACCCCGCTCTCTCTCCAAACAAAAAACAAAACGAAAAAACTCCCCCAAAACCCAAAACATAAAAAACAAACAAAAAACCCAAACAAAACAAAACAAAAACCCCCCAAATTGTGTGGCTTTAAGCCGCTGAGGTTTGAGGGCTGTTTGTCACCACAGCACAACCAGGCCTATCCTGAGGCGCGACGCCATAGCTAGGGGTCTACGCTGGTGCTGGTCTACAACCCGATTCACGGCCAGGCTTCCAAACGAAGGCCAGAGGGAGCACAGACACCAGGGCATGTGAGCGCGGTAAAGAGGCCGAGCTGAATGACCACTGGGACAACAGTGGACTCGAGAGAGGCCCGTGAAGCAAGCAGGACTGATGGCCACAGCCGACTCTGAAGTCGAAGACCACAATTCGGACAGAGCAATGGCCGCCAAGACCTAGAAACGGTAAAGCCGCCTGCGCTCTGACCCCCGTCAGCGCCAAGCTCCTCCCCGACTGCCACCCACTCTCCCTGTATGTGGGGTCACCTTGAGCGCCTTGCCCTGCAGTTCGTCAATGATCCCTCGGATCTTCCCAAGCAGGAAGGGCCAGGAGTTGATGAGGTAAATCCGGTCCATCATGATGGCGATGATGCTGTACCAGCGCTGGAAGCCCCTGGCCAGGCTGTCTTTGATGAAGAAAGTGTGGCTGAACACGAAACCATGCTGCTCGTCCCCAAAGAAGATAGGGCCTTCCCGGCCAGGGCAGACCTGCGGAAATCAACACTGTGTCTACTGCGGTGACACAGTCAAATCCTGCTCGTCCACTTTACCTTTCTGTACTGATTACCTAGCACTAATTACGGGAAGAGACGGAAAGGTGGCCACAAGAGAGGAAAACTGCTTCCATCTGCTACTGGGATCAAACTTTCTGAAGGTAAACATTTATTACCATGGATTGCAAGGGCCAGTCAAGTAGGTTCATGACTTTTTTTCTACCCCGAGCCATAAATAACTCCTGTTCAAATACTGTATCTATTCCAGACTCAAATTTGCCAACATCACTCCTTTGGAATACACTGGAGAAGGGCAGAGCAGTCACTGTAGGGTCCATACAATAAAATCTGCACACTTCGTTCACAGGACAGATGTTAGGTCTCCCTCATGACACATTCACTGTTACTTTACACACAATTCTATCAGGCACAATCATCTGCTTCTAGCAGATCAGCGGCAGGAAATAAATTTTAAAAAATCTTAAAAAGAAGAAAAAAGATTAGCAGCAGGAAATCAAAATTAGTAGTAGGAAATCAAACAGAGGGAACCAGCTGAAGGTAGGCACACTGTAAACCATAAGTTAAAACTGAGAGGGGGGCTCAGTGTGTCTCATCAAGTGGGTACAGAGAAGGGAAGTTTTATAACTGATTTATGAATTCTTCGTGACAGATAGAGACATAAGAACTAAGGACACCTGCATGGCACAGTTGGTTGGGCAGGCAACTCTTGGTTTCAGCTCAGGTCATGATCTCAGGGTTGTGAGGTCGAGCCCCACATCAGGCTTGGCGCTCAGCGTGGAGTCTGCTTGAGATTCTCTCTCCCTCTCCCCTCCCACTCATGTGTGCACACGCGCGCACTTTCTCTCTCTCTCTAAAATAAATAAATAAATCTCAAAGACCAGAACACCAAAAAACCTAATAGCTAAGACCTGAATTCAACAACAGGAGCCAGGTAGTTTGGGAACAAACTGATTCACCTTTTGGGAAGTGAGAGCACATGGTAACCATTTAGGCTTACAACAATGATTGAGACAATAAAAAAAGTGATGTTTGGTATGGTGAGCCACATAACCTAGAAATAGTTAATATCTTAGAAATATGTTCACCAAGAATGGACACATAACGAAAGTCTGGTGCCTGAAATGATAAGCTAGCAACCATTCAGAATACTGGAGTCCAACCCAACTTATTCTGGAGTTCGAGAGAACTGGGGCTGCTCCGTGCTCCCTGCTCACTGATCCCCCCGTCCTCTTCATGAAGGACTGACCTCTGTCTTCCTTTCTGTAACCAGTAGTGAACTTGTTCGGGGCATCTGGGAGTGTGTGTGATACTCCCACAGAGTCCCCTCCAGGGTCACGGTGCTCACCTCACAGCTCAGGCTCCGCACACAGGCCTGGCGGACAATGCTGAAGAGCTGGGGGTGGTTGGGGTGCTGGTGACTGACATATTTAATCGAGGTCTCTTTATCATGGCTGATATACCCGGGATGTCCGGCAGCAAGGGACCGGCAGCCCTGCCACGGAGAAGGAGAAGAAAGCCAATTAGTCAGGAAGCAGGCAACAAACTTTCTTATGCACACCTGAACGAGAAAACCCAATCTATTTTCCTATAAAAATAACAGGCTTCTAGAGTTACACTTCTCTGAAGATCTCAATGTTTCCCGAATAGGAAAACCAGGACACGGAGATCACAAAGATCGTCAAAGACTACGAATACGAGATCTAATCTGCTGAGCACTTATGTAGCCGGTATTACAAAGAGCTCCGCATGCGCTGTCTCACTTAGCCCACAGCGCAACCTTATGAGATAATTATAATGAGAAGCCTCACTTTGCGGGAGGCAAGGTTGAGTGAGGCCCGGGGCTGCAAAGTGGCTCACACGTGAGTGTGACTAGCCTCTGTCCTTGGTCCTGACACAACCACTTCGCAGGGGCCTCAGGAGGCTGCCCGACTTCCCTTCTGGTGCAGCACCCTGAGAACACAAGCTCAGAGCCTGTGCTCGGGAGTGGACCGGGCTGGTGCCCGGCTGCTGGCCCTCAGGAGCCACCACCACACGAGCACCGAGGCCTCGCATCCCAGGGGCTATCTCGCCTGGAGGCCGCACAGGACGGTACTGCGGCCAGCCCGTCCCCGTGGCAACGCCAGCTCAATGACTCTCTCTGTCCAGCACCCTTCCCTTCCCTCCTCTCCTGCACAGCTGTCAGACTTGTTCCCAGCAGCAAGGCTCTCCCCACAGGGGCTTCCAGCAGAAAAAGATCAGTCTTGCGCCTGCCGTCTGCTTCTCAGCACACCCAAACTACTGCGGCTGGGTTCCTGCTCACCCTGCAGTGGCAGGGCTCACACCAATGCTGATTTCAGGTCCCGACCTGGGTCTGTCACACAAAGCAGCAGCCGGTTGAGGGAACTTAAACTTCATTCCCTAGAGCTCATACAACGACACCAAAAGTAAGAGCCAGGCCCCCGGGAAGAGGAAACCTTGCACAACACTGGACTGAGGGAAGTGGAGCCAAGGATGGGACAGGGTGCAGATGCGAGCATGCAGAGGGAAGGGCTGAAAAGCAAATGTCTACTGTCAACTGCGTCAACTATCAATGTTGGCACAGGGTGGGTGGAAAAAGCTAAAGCTGGGATCAAGGGAAAGAACTAAAGGGACACAGAAAGATCACATTCCACAGGGCCTATAAAGAATGGTCTGCACACCTTCCTGTGAGGTCACGTCCACTGCGTAGTCCAACAGGGTCTCCCGCCCACCCAGTCCAAAAAGAAACGTGTCCAACACCCTGAGAGACACTTACCTCGCACATGTCCGACTTTTTGGGCCCCGGGCTGCTGGACTCTGCGCTGGCCCCTTCCGCTGGACTGTGAGCGCGGATCCGACTGCTCATCTGAATGCCACCCTCCTCCTCCTCGGCCTGTTCGCCCTGGCCGGGGCTGTCCCCATTCCCAGCCCCTTGAGGAAGCGGGGCATGCAGAACTTCTGTGCAAAAGAGAGTGCGGGGGCCGTGGAGCTCACAGAAGTGACAGAGAGCGACAATGGCATTCATGGTGTCCTGGAGACAGCAGGAGGCCTGCGTGGGGGAGGAGAGGAAACACCATCAGCCAGCCAGCCTCTGCCGGCACAACAGAGCCCGCCTGCTGCTCTGGAGCGCATCAGCAGGCTTCCCAGCCAGCAAGGCAGGTCACCCAGGCAGCCAGCCAGCCAGCGGGCCCGGCATCAGGTGCGGGGAAAACTCGGCAGACAGAACACGGTCCCTGCCTACAAGGAGTTGCAATGGAGGAGGCACAGTGTAATTCAAGGATCACATGGAAAACACTTCAGTTAGAGCTGTGACAGGGCTAGGAGGTGGTCAGCCCAGAGAAGAACACGAGTGCGAGGGACAGTGTGGCAAATACGACACAGATCAAGGCCACAGGGGCCTGGAGGACACTCATTTATTCTATCAACAGCTGCTGTGGTGGGTGATATGCTGCTGCCCTCACGGAGCTTACCTTCTAGGAGGGGACGGACAAACTGCTCTCCTATGGTGACAGCTTTGGGAGGAAAGGATGGCAGGTGTGGGGCAGAGACTCACTGGAGGAGGTGGGATGTGATTTTGGGCACAGGGACTCTCTGAGTGGGAGCTGAAGGGAGGAAGGGAGCCATGGGGCCAAGGAGGGGGCATGACAAGGGGTCTACCGAGTTGGGGGACGAGGGCAGAAGACGAGAAGGAGGTGGACTTTAGGGACCCTTCTAGGCCACAGTGAAGGCTGACTTTCTTCAGACTGGAGAGTCTCTGATAGGTTCTGATGAAAAATATGGTAAATCTGAGTAGTGGCCAGTGGCCAGGATTCAACCCTTCTCTTTTGGGGACCCTCTCCCCCATTATGGAGCCAAAGAAGGTACGATATTCTCTGTCCTCATCGCCCCACATGGGTGTGACCAAGGCTTGACCAGTCAGAGGCACCTGCCCAGGAAGCCAAACCCAGTGTGAACACGCGTGGGGGCCAGGGAGCGAGTCCCGGGCGACGGCATCCTCAAAACCCTGCGTGGTCTGTCTGTCACTGCGTCCTCCCAGCAGCTTCCCTTCTCCAGCCTGCTCGCTAACTCTGCCACCCACCCGGCATCTTGCAGACCACCTCTCAGCTGACACGACTACCACTGCTCCTGTCCTTGTACCTGAGGAAGGGGTTGGCGCTCAAGTGACAGTGGGAATGGCAGAGGCCAACACAAAACAGACAACTCAAGACAAAGTCAGCTGGGCTGATGTGAGTCAGGCACGGGGATGAGATGGGGACTTGCGGGTGCCCGGCAGGTAGGGAGAGCTGGGGCCCAAGACATTCCTAGAGGGAGGTGGGCAGCGGAGAGAGAGTTGAAGAGACAGCAGGACATTTAGCTGGAAAACTCTGAGTTCCATGGAGATTCTGGACCGCAGAAGCAGAGAGGGCTGGGCGGAGGATGAGGGTCCGGGACACTCCAAAGACCTCCGCTTGACTCACCGTCCTCATCATTCACTTCTTCCTTGCATGTCCCTGTTGACAGGGCTCCCGAACCAGCCCCCCGAGCAGCTGCTCACTTCCGTCACATCACTCTCTCCCGTCCTCTGCTTTATTTTAGTTCTCCTGGAAACTGCACTGTTTGTGTTTCCCCCGTATGAATATTCCCTAAGGTGGGGGTGGGGGCCTTAGCCACAACAGTTCCTGACACACACTGCAGGCGCCACATTAAAGTTCTGGACAGATGAGTGGATTTAGCAGGTGCCCATGGAGAGAGGACAGCTGGCACCACAGAAAGCAGAGAGCTCATCGAGGATATCTATGGGCAGGAAAGGTTCAAGAGCACAAGCATGGGGAACACCGGAGTCTGAGAGCCTAGTGTCATGAGACCCAAGTGAGCCAAATTCATTTTATTTTTAAAGATTTAATCAAATAAACCAAATTTAAATAGAGGTCCCACCAGGCTCACTCCGGTGAGATCAAGGAAAATGATGGTCTAAGCATCTGTTGCGGAAGAGGAATGAGGTGGCTGACAATGGAGTAAGAATCCCAGAGGAAGAAGCATTGAGACCCAAAGGCAGAGGCTTTAACCCTGGAGAAAGAGGCCACGTCTTCCTCTGAGAGGCATAAAAGAGAAATAAGGCTCCTTCCAGCGAAACATCCGCGTGAAAGCAGCACTCGGCTAAGGTTCACCCCCTATACTGTAGAGCATCCACACGAACCTTTACACTCGGCAAAATCACACGTGCACCATCCCGCCTACACAAGAGCACACAAGGCCACTTCCAAATGAGTCGGGCAGGGCAACGGCGGCCATACTGCAGGTCTAAGGCCTGACGTTTTCTAGGTGAAGGGGAAAAAAAAAAAAAGCGGATTCTAAGAGCAACGCACTTGGTGACACACACAAAACCATCAAGCAGCATCTGGACGGCTTAGCAGGCCCCTTGCCTTTTGAGCAGTAGCTGATGCCAAGCTGGTGCTGCAGCCAAACTTTGAGCTGAACTTTCGCACCCCTACAGCGTTATTTCATAAAGGATTTCTTTAAATATAACTACGTTTACGTCTTTTAAAAATACGAAACACTTACAAATATAAGGTCCTCATCCTTCCTACTCTGGTTACAAGAGGACTGTCTTGGCAGCACCCACACCATGCCAATTTAACCCTTCAGACCTTAGGCCTTCAAGTTTCTCTCCTCCTCGAATGGGAAGGATAGACCAGAGGTGATGTTGCTAAGCTACTTCCCGGCATCCGTGGCCAACATGGGAGACTTAATTATTAATAGTTTTTTTGTTTTGTTTAGTTTAAAGAAAAGCAGTCCTGATCAGGAGTACCACAGCCCCAGGCAACTAGTGGAAGACGGGGAGGTACCACTTAACTCCAAAGTCACACAGAAAAAAGCCTGTCTCCAGCCTTTACCTGCCAGGTGATGTCAAATATCTTACTCAGAACTACCCTTAGGCTGAGAAACAAGAGGCCAACGGGCACCTCTCAGGTTAACCACAACTTGTGCAATCAGAATTCTGAGTAGCAGGAGGTCAGTTCTCTATTCACTCCCACTTCCAATCTGTACCAGATGTTTACCGAAGAAAATAAACTGGCTTGAGTACGCCTAACAGTTCTTTCCTTCCTTCCAAGGAGCTTTTCGGAATCCAAGGAAGCAGCAGAAATCTGCTCCCTATCACTTCAACTTTATACTCAAAGTAAGATCCAAATACCCCGAAGGCGTAGGGCCCTTTTCTGAGGTGCTGGCCGGGCCCTGGGTCTGTTTCACTCTCACTTCCTGTGTGAGGCTCAAAGAACACTTTGCAAATAAATAATTGTATCATAATGGCTCTTAACCAGTAGCCAGCATCAGAATTCCCTGCAGCTTCTTTACCTAGTCTTCTTTGGGGGTTGGGGGGGGGGAGTCTCATTAGGTCAGCAGCTGGATCCCAGCAAGTCCAAGGTGAAACGTTCCACAGGGGATGACTTCCAACTCAACCCATTCACACCGTGGTGCCTCTATTATTTCTACCAACTTCACCTGGATTTCTGTTTACAAAGCTCCCTGATGACACTAGAAGGGCAAACACGGTCACGTGCCACTATTTCTCAATCTCTTCGTAACAACGTTGATAATCCAATGCCTCCAGACCCCGGCTGGACACCCTGGGTGGTGCCAGGTGTCCGAGGGCTGGAGAAGCAGCACCTCCTTTCAGCCAACTCCTTCCTTGTTCCCTGCCTCCATCAGCTGCTGCTGATCACCCGGAGCACCTCAATCCACAATGCGCCAGTCTTTGGGTAAATATTTTTTCCAGGTGATAAGGTTGCGTCCAACAATACCCAGAAAACAGGAGGGAAATGTGGTCTTCTACCCACCCTGGGGAACACCGATCTGGGCCTATCAGTTCGTCAGAGTGCCCGCCTCAGAATGCCAGCCTGGGAGAAAAACAATCATGACACACACCCTCTTCCCTAAACCAGCGGTAAGGCAAAACCTGCGTGGCAGGGAAGGCCAAGAGTGCAGCGTCCTGGCAACAGTAAAGGAGAAAAGAATCAACGACCATGACGGGGTCTGAGCCCATGTCACGGTCCTCATTCCTTTACCGTCCGCGGATCAGCGACCCCCCCCACCACCGCCCGCCACATCTCAGGTTCTCGCCACCCCCTCCACGCTGGCCCCTAACCTCCCCGATCACCAACACCGCACACCAACTCGAAGCGCACTGCTGCCGCACAGCTTTACCCCGAAGGCTGTCAGGCTTCTCCAAGGCCCTCGGGCCCCCAGCGGCTCCCGCCCGCCGCCACCACCCGTCCCTTCCTAAGCCCTCCTCCCGGAAGCCAGGCTCCCCTCAACCTCCAGGAGGCAGCCCGACAGCCCGGGTTCCAACGACCTGGACAAGCCAGGGGGCCGCTCCGGGACGCGCTCCCGCACGGGCACCGACCCCCGGGGGCGCGGCGGAGACGAATTCCCACCGGCCGGGAGAGCTCCGAGCCCGGCTCCGGCGCTCGGGCCGCGGCGCACCTGACAGCGTCCCCCTCACAGGACCCGCCCTGGGCCCCCTCTTCGAGCCCAGGCCCCGCCGGGACGCCCGCCTGGCCTCGCGAGCCCCCGCACCTCCCGTCCGGCGGGGGAACCTCAGCTCGGGCCCCGGAAGCCTCACTCACCCGGGGCCGCGGCTGCTGCTGCTGCGGCGCCGAGCCCAAGGCGCGTGACTCGGCCGGGACGTACCATTCGCCCACCGCGCGGGGGGGGGGCGTGGGCTGGCCGAGCGCACGTGTGCACCGTGAAGCGAGCGGGGCCTCGCCCAGCCCGCACACCCGAGAAGACCGCGCGAGCTCGGCAACTCCGAACTCTGGCGGGGAACCCGAAGCGGCTGCCCGACACCTGCCTCTTCCGCCGCCCGACTTCCGCGCCTCCCCCCACCGAGAAGTACGGAATGGTTCCAGCCTCACCGGCAGGGCTCGTGAAAGAAACCATTTCAAAGAGGAATGGGGGGGAATACTTAAAATTAAAAAAAAAACAACCAAAAAACGTTTAAGAAAGAGATTTGAAGGAAAATATAGCCAACCTAGTACTCCCGGTCCACACCGAAGAGAAAAAGAAATAGAACATCTCGACATTATAAAGAGCGGGGCAGTGGCTTATGGTGTCACCGTTGGCTTTGATTAAACTGCCGGTGGAACCCGTCTTCTGTGGGACGTGCGGGCAGGGGGCCGGGAGGGGGCCGTCACGTGATGTGGGGCAACCGCGCGTCGCGGTTGGGAGGCTAGGTCGGCAACTGGAGGTGGGGTGCGGCGGAGTGCGCATGTGCGTGATGCACTGGCCTACCCGAACGATAATACGTCCACGGTTTTTAAAAAATATGAGTCAATTGTTAAATAACATATATTTTTAACACTTGGGCGCCTGTTAGTCCGTCTGTCTGCTTAAAGATTAATTGTGAAGCCCTCAGTGCGTGATGTGATGTGGGCCCTTAGAGGGAAGAACTAGAGGGACTCGCATCACACCCTGGACCACGGGAAACTCGTTGGAGCTGCGAGACGGTGCTGCCACCTTGTGTCGGGTCGGACCAAAGACCGCTGACCTCCGCAGTGGGCGCTTCACCTCGGAGTCCTGGTTCGTATGGCTCCCGCAGGGGGTGTCCGGAGGGTGGTTGTCGTCGAGTGTTGGGGGAAAAGCCTCAACCATTAGGAAGGAGAAGTAGCTGGTTGTATTATTTCTTTAAAATCACCGCGATCACTTCTTTCTTTGAAATTCTGCATTACACCGAAGAGAGGAAAGAATGAAATTGCAATTTGTTTTCTGTCTTTAGTGGTGTGATAAAAGCTTAAGGAGTGTGGGAGTTACGAGGTTAGGCCTTGCCTTTGTATGTTTACTTAGTCTTACCAATCCAATTCCTCATGATATTGGACAGCACAAACATAATATATTGTCTCGTAAGTCACAAGATAATTTTTGAAGCAAACAACAACAGAAAACCCGCGACGATGTACTGATTTGGAATTCTGTTTTTTATTTTCGCCGCCAACAATTCAGATACTTGAATTTTACTGAGTTTGCAAAATTCTTTGAAAGCTTTAATGGAAAGGTGCAAGCCTCCTTGTGTGGCTGTGCCTTTACAATTTCTAAGAGAAAACATCATTTCAACGTTTGTCAAATGAACAGGATTCACCCTGAAAATGACCACAGCAGCAATGCCAAATACAAATCTGCTTAATTGACTTACACACTAATTTACAAAACTTTCCAAAAATTTCAATAACCATGACTATTTTCACTTCACAGTGAAAGGAGATGAATATGTATTTTTTAAAATCTGCTTGCATATTCTACGGTTTCAATCAAGAAGCCAGGAAGATGTTTTTTGTTTCATTTTGTTTCCCTTTTTCTTTTCCCATTTTGTTTCTTTTCTTTTTTTTCTTTTGTAAGCTTTTTCTCCCATTTTTCTCTTACTGGTAGCTGTTCTTGAAACTAACATTGGTTAGACAGGTTTTATGCCAAGAAAAAAAATATTTGTTCCTGTCTTGTAACTGATGTGAGGAATTAATGTCCTCAGTTTCTTAGTGGAGGGCACAACCTTATTTCTATGATGATAGGCTAATGAAGGTCCCAAGTGGAAGACGGTTTATTCAACACTGCCATTTTCAATACAACTCCATGTGCATTTAACTACAACCGGACTCCATCTATGACATAAAATACCCTCTCCAGCACCACTGGCTTCAGCCACCTCCTCTTCTGGAGGTGTTTCTCAAACCTATAAATAATCTGTTTAAAAGTAACAACTACATGCCAATTCCTTGCCTCAGTGAATTGAGCCAAAGGTTAATTACACTGGTTTCTCACACAGTATAAACCTTCAAGGACATTGAATGACAGACATCTTAGAAGTCAGAAAATGTGGCCCACATCATCAGTGAGGAAGCAAAACCGGCAAAAATGCCAGTTATTAACATATAAATATAATAATGCAATTTCAACCAAATGAAATACCATGCTAAACTCAAAGCTTGTATCCTGTAATAAGAATTTTATGAAAAGTTACCAAAAGCATTGTATGTACCACACTGCCTGGCATTTATAGTCCAGAACATGTTTTTTCCACCAGTGAAATGGGCCCAATCAGAATTAAAGATTGCCTGATGCTTTTCTGACTTCCTACTGCTAACCAAGAGATTTGATTGACTAGGTATTGACAGCTCATCATTCAGACGGACAGAATGCTTCAGGGACACCAGTTGCCAAGACCATGGAGCCAAGTCAAGTCAAGTCTCCTTAGAAAATTCCTCAGAGAGGTTTTGAGGTGTATCTTTACCAACGTGCGGTCTTACATAGCTGGAATACAGATAGGCTTTATCTCTGAGTCAGACCACCATGTCCCTACATCAGTTTTCAGTTTCAGGAGGGAGAGGTATTTTCATTTGTGAGCAATTGGATCTAATATATTTAATCACATCTCATTATTTTAAGGGAACTACAGTAGGTTCCTGGTTATAAAAATAATAATCTAAGCTTTCCTTTCTTCCATCATCCAAAATAACATTGTGTTTTCTGATGTGTTTAAGTTTGGGGGTCTGTCCGGCTGCTGAAAGATAGCAAATAGTGGGTTCAGGGGGTAGAGCTCATGCACAACCTCTAAGTCGGTTTGAAGTTTCAGGTTATTAGACAATTAACTCTGCATATAAGGTGTCCAGCTAGTTGCAAGGACTATTAGTAGTTTAATATTTTCTCTTAAAGAAAAGCCCCTGGTGGGGTGCCTGGCTGGCTCAGTTAGTAGAGCACGTGACTCTTGATCTTGGGGTCATGAATTCAAGCCCTATGTTGGGTGTGGAGCCTACTTTAAAAAAAAAAAAGACAAATAAAAAAGCTTCTAGTGTTAATTTAGTTTTTGTTTTGTTTTGTTTTGTTTTTAAATCATAGCACGTTCAGAAAGCTTTTAAAAATTAGCCCTCTCCTCCCAGTTAGAATTCAACTGAAAGGCTTTGGTGTTTTAATTTAATACTAGTTGCTTGTTAAATATTAAATACCAAGTGCTTTCTTCACATCTAATAATAAACTTTATCACGTCATTATGGATTCAGGCTTGTCAAATGCCTTTTACAATTAGCAGAAGTTCTCTTGGTCTCAACTTTTGATTTTAGGAAAGGATGCAGATAGGATTTTTTTCTTTGTTTACCAACATTAATTCAACTGCCTATAAAGGGTACCACTGATTTTTCCTTTTCACAATAATCTGATTTACCCAGACATTTATTTTCTCTGGGCCTTTTGCAACTACTCAGACTTATGTGCAAATCATGTTTTCTTCTACAAATTGGTTACCATTTCAAGTTGCACCCCAGAAACTTAGCACTTAGAAAGCCCAAACAGCATCTTTGAAAAGCAAGCGGGGGGGCGGGGCGGGAGAGAATTAGAATACAACTGACCGTTGGCATAACTTGAGGGGACTTGAACAAGGTAGGTCCACAATGAACACCAACAGTTCAGCACCTGAAAACGTAAGACTTAGGTTTCCCCTCTGCCAGACTGTTTGTTAGAAAAGTATTTGTCCCTGATTAGATTACCAGGCATCACTCTCTTATTAAGGCACCTTTTAGAGTACTGTTCTATCACCTAGCTTTGTTTAGGATTTTAATTTACTAAACAAAGGAGGTGCCATCCATACAAGGCAGAAAAAACCCACAAATCTCACTGCTTTATTGCCCATTGGTACCATTCTTGGGATCAGAAAACATCTCCTACATTTCAAAAACATGCAACCAGGTATTTCTTTAAATAATACCTTATACTAATATATCCCAAATTGGAGATCATTCGGATCAAGCATACGCATTTAAGAAAGTATATAAAAAGTTAAACCTAGTCTCTTTGGGTGGTTTACTTGGTACCAGTAGAAATAGAAACAAATACAGGGGCGCCTGGGTGGCTCAGTCGTTAAGCGTCTGCCTTCGGCTCAGGTCATGATCCCAGGGTCCTGGGATCGAGCCCCGCATCGGGCTCCCTGCTTGGCGGGAGGTCTGCTTCTCCCTCTCCCACTCCCCCTGCTTGTGTTCCCTCTCTCGCTGTGTCTGTCAGATAAATAAAATCTTTAAAAAAAAAAAAAAAAGAAACATAAATACATAAGGCACGTACCGACATCTGAGGGCAATTGTCCTCATTAATCCAGAGTACTTATTAACATTTAATATTACCGTGAAAAGATGGACTTGTAAAGTCCTCAGAAAACTGGTAGGTCCGCTAATGAACACCAACCGAAGGCTACATCCCTGGACCTCAGAAACTGCCTTAATTCCCTGGGCGCAAACTCACCATGTTCTGGTGCCATCAAAAACACAACAGGTATTCCTAAGTAAACTTGTTCACAAAGGAATTTGCTGCTGAGAATTAACTCAGAGGAACAGCTAAGGGTATCTTAACTATTCGTGCAAACAGATTCAGCAAGCAGACTATTCAGCAAATAGATTCTAGTAACTATTCAAAAACAAGACACAGGCATAGCCAGGTGACCTATTTTCCAGAAGGCAGCATGTGCGAAGTCTTCGATTCTCTCATCTCCTTGATCTAAGATCTTCAGAACTCCTGTCAAGAGAGAAACCACTCACCAGTTTCTTTAACAGAAATGATTTAATAGATGCATTAACCGGGTGTTGGACAGGCGGGCGGACCGTGTCTCACTGAGGCAGACACTGCAGGAAGTAGGTATCACCCTTAGGGCTTGGGGGGCAAGGGAAAGAGGTTAGCATTAACAGAATTTAGAAGGTGGGAGGTACCCAGTAGAACTGGGTCCCCAAGCTACATGGGCAGGGGAGGGAGGCCCACCTTCTGAGGTTGGCATCTCTCAGCGGGTACGAGGCTAGTTCTACGAGCGCGGGAAACACAACCGGGGCTTCACTGCTGCGCCGAACCATCCTTAAGGGCAAAGAGCTGGGCTTTTACTCTTCAATGGGAAGCGGACAGTGGGGAGCCCGTCCTTTTTTCCCTCCCCAGCCTTCCAGTCTGCGTCTTGTTGGCAAAAGAAATGTGGTGTGCAGAGTTCTAGCCCCAGAATCAGAAAATACGTTAGGGTGGGTGTGAAGCTGAGACACGCTGAGACAGGAGGGGCAAGGACGTGTGGTTCGCTAATAGTGGGGTTTTAATGAAGTCATTGTAGGAAAAATGAATCGTGACCACTTCGTTAGAAGCGCACAAGAGAATTATTCTTAAAGTCACCATGACTGGCAGCTACTAGGATTCTCAAACACATTTTAGGTGATTTTAATTTAGATCCCGGTAAATCATGAAGTTGTCCAATTTGTTTAAAAAAAAAAAAGTCTGTAATTCACTATCCTGATAAAAGGAAAATTTCTATGAAGTATTTTCTCTTTCCTAAGTATAGGTCCAGGTAAACGTAAGTAGGAATGACGCAGCCCACAAGCAGCACTGATTTGAGCTAGGGAATTTGAGGGTTTTGATGAAGGGGCAAATCCAGCCCTCCACCTATTTTTGCATCTGCTCTATTGGAGCTCACCGTCCGTGGCTACTTCTGTGCAGCAAAGTAGAGTAGGTGCCGCCCCAGACCATATGACCCCCAAAGACTCTCTATTAGGGGCAACTTGACACGACTCCTGAGGTGTTTCTTTCTGTAAATAATGAAAATGTGACCGGCTATACAAGTTGACACATTTTAAAAAGTGAATGCTACTAGCAAGAGAGAGAGTTTCAAAGACTAAATTCTAATTTAATCTTATCACACTTTACAAAGACCCCGCACCATTCCCCGGCTTAATCGGTGAGTCCTCATCACATTTCAGACTTCCGTTGAGAGACCCCAAACATAATAATCAAAATGCAGCCATGTAGCTTAACTGAAAATGATTCTGGAAGAAAATGTGGGAAAGTCTGGCACTGGTCTCCTAAAAAAGCCATTCCCAAGACTACAAAAGAATGTAGCACACACCACAGGTTAGAAAGAGCGCAACAGCATCTCTTGAATTCACAGTTTAACTGTCACTAAAATGCATGTTAATTCTATTTATAAAGATTTAGCTTCTGCGTTATGAACTCTCCCAGACTTTTTTTTTCTCTTTAAAGGTAACCAATATCAAACTTTAGATTGAAATCTTCCCCAAATTCCTGAAGTTTAACTCTTTCTGTTCACAATGAATATATCCTTTAAAAACTCTTCAGAGGGAGAAAAAAGTGATACAGAAGACACATCAATGTTCAAGTAATTTAAAACAAAAAGGTAGATTTAATGCAATAACAACATTAATCTGAGGATAAATAAATCCACAACAGACTTTAAAGTTTGATTTTTTTTTTTCCTTTCTTGGCAGAGAGAATGGTTTTCTTAAAGCACATAGGACTGAAGATGTCAAAACAAAATGTAATCTCTCAATGTCCAGGTCAAACAGGCTTGGTCTTCCCTGCTGCCCTCCTAACACTTGCCACTGGCCAAGGTGATAAATTTCTCTCATCTAACTCAGGATGGACGTTAGGTTTCAAGAGTAACTAGATGGTTTGTTTCCAGAATCATCTTCTTGTGACCCCATGCTCTGTGAAGAAGAAAGTGAGACAATCTATTTATGTTTGCTCTTGCCAAAGGTTTCCCACCAGCCCCAAACAAGCACACCCCATCCCTTCCCAAGGACAGTCACCCTGTGTACAAGTGGAGAGGCTGTAGTTTGAAAATGTGAACTTAGCGACAAAGATTTTCAAGAACTTTGGGCAACTAAACATTTAATCTCAAATCAAGCTCACGTTCCTGATGAGGAAATAACCTCTCCTTTTCTATCCAGGCCACTTCTAGTTAATAAAGGGAACCCTAATCACCTTTTGTACAAACTGGGGGTTCACTGTGATCTCCTGGTCCATGGCCTTCAGTCGCTCATCCAGCTCTATGCACTTCAGCATCTGGTGATAGACACGTTTGAAGGTGGTTATTAGGAAGTGAGTTTAGGTCAGTTTACCTCCTTTTTAACCTAGAGTATTAATATGGGTGCTATAGGTTCACAATCCCATGATCTAAAACACCTGTGGCTACACAGGTTTTGGAATCAGAATTTTTTGAATGCAGAAAATTAACAGAGTACAAGTACTATAAATTAACTAACAACCCAGCAGGATCTAGGGCAGCACCCCATAATCGAACACATTAATATCTTTTGCAGTGAAACCTAAAAATAAACATCCTAAGCGAGATAAAGACCATACATCATTTTGGGTGAAATTCACCATCACACTGAGTTACCAAAAACCTCCAGTTTTCATGGGTTTCTGGATTTTAAACTGCAAAAAAGGGGAGTGTGGAAGTATCCTATGTTATTCTTAATAATTGCTTTTAGGCTTCTGAGATGTAATGCCTGAGGTAAGGAACACAGACTGCCCGCACAATCCCAACTCATGTCTCAAACCCAGAGGGGTACTCAGAGCAGCGTGACCTCAGAAGCTGCAAAGGGGACCCCGCTCCGGCCCCTGGCGGCTGCCCTACAGGGAACCGAGGGACGGCCTTCCTCCCTCAGCCACCCCGCTCCCTCCCACACCTCCCGCAGAGATGAGGCTCTACGTTATAAATGGTGGTTGGGTGTGAATAAAACTGTACCGACTGTAAGACTCTAAAGTGTTTTAGTACCTAAACTAGGCTCTGGTGAGCTGATGGGAAATCCAGCCCACCATTTACTTGTTATAACCATTCAGTCTGGGAGAGGTTGAAGCAATGACTGTTTTAAAGATAACTTTCTAGGAACTATGGTTTTTCTAGAAACCATTTGGAACTACCTGTATTTAAAACTAAAAT